CGAAGGTGGGATGGAAGGGTGTATTGCCCATGGATGTGTGGAACCAGAATGAATTCGGGATGGATGGATAAAATTGATGGATGCCTGTTTGCTTGGATTTATTGATGGACAAATCAGGCGTGCAGAGATGAACGTAGGAAGGGAGGAAAAAAGTAAGTAGCATTGAGCGCGATGTTGAGTCTACTGGTCAACTAGCCAAAGCTCTTTCGGATTAATCACTTTTACTCACTCCACTTTAACTGTCATTAGTCGACAAACAAACGCTAACTGTTGCAATGTACTTTTGCCTTTATAATCTACGGCACACACGCCTACCCCAACACCGAGAATGCATTTTCCTTTCACAGCTTTGAATTGTTTGGCGCAGTATTGGGTGTGGTACAATCTGTTCGGCTGTTCCACTCTTGAGTATATTGACCCTTAGTAGCGTCAGAAAGGCCTTAAATTGGTGGGTTTTAGTGAATTTAAAGAGCGAAATAGGATAATTGTTGCGCTCTGTTAAAGCATGCGGCACCCAGCTGCTCAATTTTATGCCTTTCTTGTAGATAGGCGCGTCAACAGCTTGTGCCATTACTCATCTGAAGCACAACTGCGCCTTTTTTACCTCCTCAATCAAAGTAGTGCCTCCTTTTTATTTGCGTTGCATACATACTGAACATTCGGAGATACAGTGATCCTAATTGTTGCCTGGCTCGTTGCCAGAATCACTTTAGCGTCTGTGATCTCCTCCACCAACACATCCTCGCTAGATGGGTTGTAACAAATCTAAAGGGAAGATTCGGCAGGTTTTGGAGCTGAGATAAACGTTTTTTGTAAAATAGGTAGGCTTGAAACACATCCACCAGGTTTTACTCAACTCTGGGACCATATGGAAGTGGGTTCGTGGTGAGAGGAGGGCAGTAGAGATAACAATAAGGGGCACAGTCCTAAAAATTGACTATCTACAACCCACCCACTATCCTCTATCCATTCTTCCTTCCCGTATCCATCCACCTACCCATCCATTTATCCATTCATCCATTTATTCATTTGCACAGTTCTGTTAACTTTCCCGCTTTCAGCTGTCATTCCATCCCCCTATATAGAGCCTGTTATTTCTTTCACATACTCTCGCCAATCCATTTTAAATCCTGTAGCACAATTTTTCATTTCGATTAATTAAATGGGACTCTTTATTCTTTCTTTTCATTATTTATTTAAGAAATCTACAGGAAGCTAGGAGAAACTACCATATCTGATTGAATTCTTATCACAGCCTAAAATATCTCCATGCAGCTCTTAAAATTTGAGTCTTAAGCATACTAAGGAAAGTTTAATCCATTTGAGAGTAAATGATTGGTATTTTTTTCCTTTCTCATTGACTGCTAAGTAATTGTGCGCCCTTAGAGGCATAGATTTGCAGTAATTTTACTGAAACTTCTCCATAATTTCCCAAATTTATTTCTCATGTCACTTTACAAACTTTGAATCTATGTACAGAAGCGGTTTGTATGTGAAGATTATGAATTGAAGGCTTAGCATTCGTAGACAACTTCACTTACTTGTCTTGATTTGACATAAAAGTACGGAGCAACTTGATTGGTTCATTTCCAGCTTAACCAATCATATTAATCCAATGCGCAATTTACTTATGGAAATAAATAAAGGTAGTTAAGTTACAAAATGAAAGACATTTGTTAGTGCCGAAAACATTCTTTTAAAAGGATTTATAGAACTAATGAACAATAGTTAAAAGAGGACAGTAGTCCTCAATGGTTGGTCAGCTTTGTACATAGTAAGGTCAATGATTGAAACTTTTCCTTTTTTTTCTACTAGCAATAAATAAGTAGAATCGACGAGTGGTTACTTGTTTGATTAAGATTTCTAATGCGCCTAGAAGATTCATCATCATAACCAACAGTGAGGAGGAATTCGAGCCCTCCCTGAAACTTTTATTTGCAATTAACTTACAGTAGGTCCAAGATGAACGATAAATGCGGGCCTCGAATTTATTCTTGGTGTCACACTACATAAATATATCCAGTTCTGTACATTGCCTAAGTTTCTGTCGATAAAGAGGAATAAGTTTATCAACCTGAGATGTTGGGATTGATGCATAGATGAAAGTGCAGAGGGACGGATTAATGGATACGAGATGGCCGAATATGGAATGGATTGATAAGTGGCACATGATTAAGGGAGGAATAAAAGACTTGAATAAAATTCCGGTGAATTTACGAATCCAGGATAGGCGCATGAATGATAAAATGGAGGCCGTATTTATGCGGTTATAAGATGGATGCATTCTAAACTAACACCCACCTAATACCCTCTGACAAATGTTCCACATTTACATTCAACCACTTCGATCAAATTCATCAAGAATTTCTAATGTTATTTTTCCAAAATTTCAATACGAGGTTTTCATACTAAAAATCCAACTGTTCTATTCCCCGCTACTAACCACTTTTAAGTAGCCAGCTGTAATATGGTTGCCTAAAATTAAATTTAAAGAACTTAAATTTGGGAATTTTAAACTGACCATAACGAAATTTCTTTCTCAAATATTGAAAACGCGATTGATAGTGAATTAAATTTTCTATAACAGATTTTAACAGCATGCCATAATTGCTTACTGAGACCTGTCTCTCCTAGAGGATTTGTTTTTTAGGAGGAAAAATCAACTTAATTAACGCTTTCAAATACTTCAAACCATTGAGAAGTCTTTAAAATGCACCACATTTAAGATGCTTGACAGGGCAACCTAAAACAAATGGTCAGCATCTATAGCCAATGGGGAAGGTGGAATTATTACCCACTGATTAGACCGTCTGTTCGTTTCTTGGTCACTTCCCCTTTCAGACGGCACATGACGCACTTGGCAAGACCCCTAAACTTCAAGCTCTTTTAAGAAAAGTTCACAAAATGTCCTTACATATTTAACTAGAAGACCAAATCCGCTTTATACTGCTTGTATTTGCGGTCACAATAAATAACAATTTCCTCAACTCCATTGCTAGTATTTTCTTGCTTTTCAGTCATAGAAAGTGCTTTCAAAGGTAATCTTTTATGGAGGCTATGATTCAGGCAATGCCTTTTTTTCCCGTGGAGATATTATTTCTCAAGACAATGGTCATACCAGGGGCAATGCAATAAGAGAAATGACCTTTTTTCTTATACACTACCCTGGAGATTTCTATGCGTATTGTGAAGTCTCTAATAGAGAAAAAGAAATTTTACTCCCTCGTGTAGATTCTCTTGGCTCTCCTCTATTCCAATATGCAACCATTTAAATGCTGCATCACTTAACACTCTTTATTTTATGTTTTTCTTATAAAAGAGGGTAATAAGTACACTTTGAAAATATGAGGTGTGACTTGAAAGAAGAGTTTAAGGGAAGTCACAAGTGACTTGGTGAGGATTTTTCTAAACTGCCTAATTGTCAAGTCCCCTGTCTTCTTTTATAGGTGGATTTTAAGATAGGAAGAAGATTTATAGACCTCTTTGAAAAGTGTTTCGTGAAATCGCGGTTTGAATCCAATCACTGAGCATTTTGACTTCGAATCAGGTCTCTCAGCTTCCTTGCTCAGCGTTCAAAGCATTGGGGATTACATACTACTAAATTTCTTAGAAGTAAGGTGCTAATATAATAATGCCATTATATTAATTGATTTTTTCGATATTTTAAGAAAGAATCCACCCAAAAATCACTATTATTTTCAAATTTAGAGAAGTTGGCTTTTTATGTTGCAGTAGAGGCGACTTGTTATGAATGGTTTGATTGACCTAAGCCCGAATAAA